AACGGAAGCAAAATTTTGCAAACGGTGCTGTTCGTGAACCAAATTGTTCGTGAACAGAAGCATTCGTGACCCGAGGCACCACTGTACCTTGCTTTTTAGCCAGAAAGATTCCCAGGATAGAACATATCAGTCAAGTGTCTCTGTTCTCAAGTTTACAGTTTGGAGGGGGGGGAAATATAAGCAAGGAAAATGAGTTGTTGTAAGCCAGCAATTCATAGAGTTATAAACATCTATTTACCAGCTGAAATGCAAGCATAATGTGATAATGCACCAGAAATTCTTCTTGTAATGACTAGCTGAAATAGTTAAAAGAGGGAAAGACCTTCCTGCAATAGCTGTTATCTCAGCTGAGTTAATGGAGTGGCCTTCCTTTTCTCCTTTTGTTATGCTCTAAAGGTATAGTGATGGATCATAGTGGGAGGAGAGAAAAAGCTCAGGTGAAGTTATCAAGGTAGCTTCTCAGTGTAGTTAATGATGACCCATTTCCTTCTGTCTCAGTTGTAGTAAGGTGGGAGAAATCTAGAAAAATGTGACCTCATAAGTTTGTGCTGTAACTATAGAAAGTAAGGGTTTGCATGAAGTCTGTAAAAACAGATTTTTGCTTTTGTATAGCTGAGAGTGGGAAACCTATTTTCAGAATTATAGCCACTATATTTCTGGTAGATATGACACTGATGTAAAAATGAAAATCAAATTTCATCATTACCAAAACAAGTGTGAGGACTGATCTTTTTTCATTAATGTATACTTCTAAAAAATCTCAGCTGGTCAACTAACTTAGCAATACTAATTTGGTGTAACTGAAAAAGGTACTACACAGAGTGAACAAGGACACAGAAGTAAGAACTAGTAAGATCGACAATAGAATAGATGAAGAACAGATAATTTCACCCAAACTTCCCTTTTCATTTTTCATGTCTTTGGGAACTGTCCTCTTCAAGAGGCTCTGTGTATGTGTATGTATTCTGTACCTTTTTCTCGTGTCTTGTTGCATGTTTACAGGTGAAACTCGAAAAATTAGAATATCGTGCAAATGTTCATTTATGT